CTTGGAATAAGCTACAACTATTTCTTTTTCTATAAATATGCATGAAATAAAAAATGAGGGAAAATCATTTCATACTTTATTTTATAAAATTAAGTAATCAAATTCCTCCTCAAAGAAGAACACGGTCAAATTTCTAAATGTTCTTGATACTATTTTTAGTATTTTAAAAGCGCTGTACACAATCTCTTGACATTTCCTGATTTTACTGTTGAATATTTAGAATAGAAAACTACATTTTTTCTCATGTTTTCATTCTCATAATTGACTCACTTGAAAGCCATTTGACACCTCATACTGCCAAATGTTCCCTCATTGGTCTAGTTGAACATTTGTAAATGTTCATATAAATACCTAATTGCATGAAAAATGTTCAAGATAATGCAAAAGACAAGCTGTAAAGTTCCCTACAAGTAGGATCACTTTTTTTTCATAAGAACACGTAAAATATATATGAATATATACAGCAAGAAAGAAAAAATCGCATTAGTCACAGTGAGTATAATTGAGAACTTTAAGTGTTGAGGATTTGGGAGATTTTAATTCCTTATTTTTCCTTATATCTCTTTTTCTGAATTTTCTAAATTACTTTTTCAATGAGCAAAGTAACACACTATTAATTATAATAAGAACTAACATTTACTGAGTCCCAGGCACATTCCAGGTGTTGTACATGTTTTCACTCTTACATTAGATCTTTGCCATGGACAGTGCTATCCTCTTTTAACACCTAAGGAAACTGAGGCAGATGTTGGCTGTGTAGAGCCAAATGGTTGCATTTCATTGCCTGTGCTATGAACTATGTCAGGGTCTGGACATGAAACAAGTTGCCCATTTTGCTGTGTCTGGCCTTCAAATAACACAGTGCACTCACATCTGGATGCACAGGCTCCCATTTCTCTAAGCATAACACTGAGCTACAGACAAGCCGTTCACATCACAGAACAGCAGAGCCAGGTTCCCAGTGAGAATGCTTCAGGGGTCAGAGGAGGGGGACTGAATGACTGAGGACTGCAGGAGCTTTCGAGGGAAGGAGGCTGAGCTTGAGCCTGGGAAAGCAGAGAGGACAAGGTAGAAAAGGAGTCAGAGACAACCTCATGGCTGTTGATGGCAGAACAGTACATGCATTATTCATTATTCCAAGAAATTAAAAACTCAATAATGTTAACATGCATTGTAAAACTGACAAAGGAGTTTTATCTGCATATAACTTCCCAATTGTTCTAATGGATACCATCCCAAGGAGCCGATTGTCACTAAAATTTTCTAGCACAAAAAGAATGGTGAGTCTCAGGCACTGTCATCCATAAAGCTGTTACATACAGCCCTTGGTCTAAATATAAATACATGTAACAAATTCCTATAAATTGCCAAAGAGATCAGAAACATTAGAATATACAGAAAATCATAAAGATAATCACAACCATTAAAAGCCACTTTTGATAATTTTAACATAGAGAAAATAAAAATCATCATGACCATTCAGATACCCACTGTTGATCATTTTAGTGTTTTAGTTTCAGTTTCTCTCTTAACCATCCTTATTGCTGATCAGATAGTCCACTTGTATTTAGCCTACAATAATCCTGAAAAGGCACAATGTCCATTTATTCATTCATAAATCTCCTTCTTTATCTTATGCATTCATCTATCTGTACATCTATCTCTCATTTCATCTAACCATTTTCCTGCATGCCCAACAAACATACATTCTCTCCTTCCCCAGGTATGTTTGACAAATGAAGATTATGTATATTTATGGTATAAGCCATACTGATTTAATACTTTTATACGTTGTGACATGATTACCACAATCAAGCTAACTGGCATACATACCCATTACCTCCTGTACTCCCTCCCCTCCCCTCCACTCTCTCCTCCTCTCTTCTCCTCTCTTCTCTTTTCACTTCTGTGTGGTAAGAACACTTATGACCTATTTTCTCAGCATTCTGAACCAGGCAATACAGTATATCTACTCCTGTCACCAAGTTGTACTTATATACTCAGGACTTCTTCATCTTCACCAACATCATTTTCATCTGCCCCACTCCCCAGTTCCTTGCAACCAGTGTTCTACTTTCTGCTTCTATGAGTTTGACTTTTTAAAGTTTCACATGTAAATGATCTTGTGCAGTATTTGCCTCTCTATGTCTGGCTTATTTCAGTTAATATAATGTCTTCTGGCATCAACCATGTTGTCACAAATAGCAGGATTTCCTCCTTTTTTAAAAGGTTGAATCATGTTTCATTGCAATATGTGCATACTCTCACACACAAAATGTTCATGGAAAATGTGTATTATGAGAAACTATGCATGGATTTTTTCTTTTTTAAATTTTATTTCTATAAAGAGAACAAACTTCATGCATTTCAAATATACGGTTTTAAGAACATAATGATATTTTCTACCCTACTCTCCCTCACTCCCACCTTTCCTTATTATTTTTATTTTAATTTTTGCAATTATGTACTTTCAATTTACTTTATAATTACAGACTTATTCTTCCACTAAATAAAGAATTCAGTAAGTAGAGATACCACTGTTCCTCAGAATTATAGACAAGGACTATAAACAATAATCAAAACTCAAAATGTCAATTTCACTTTCATATGTTATATTTTTTGGACTCTATATATTAGCCACCACAAATCAGAAAAAAAACATGTATTTGTCTTTGTGGGACTGGCATGGATTTCAAAAAGGTTTTGAACAAAAATAACCAATTTTTAATTTAAGAAGCAGAGAGTCAAAGACAGAGACACAGAGAGAACTTCATCTGCTCGTTCACTCCACAAATGCCTACAATGGCCAGAGCTGGGTCTGGTTGAAGCTGGGGGATGAAACTCAGTCCATGTCTACCATAAGGGCGGCAGGAATCCAATTACTTTGAACCATGACTCTGCCACTCATGATCTGAACTGGCAAGAAACCAGACTCAGGATTCAGAGCTGGGACTCAACACAAGCACTCTGATATGGGAAGTGGAGTCTTAGTTGATGTCTTTGCAACTAGACCAATCACTCACTCTAAATTTAAGTTTTAATTTGCTTTCCCACCTACTTTTGAAGTCTCTCTGTGTATGTATGTTTTACATTGTCTTGATCTTTTTACCTATAATGGACACTTGGGTTGATTCTGTATCTTGATTATTATGCAAACTGCCTCCGACAAGATCTTAATTTCATTTCCCTTGAATGTATACCCATAAGGGGGTTGACTGAATCATATGATAGTTCTTTTAATTTCCTGAGGAACCTCCCCCCCCCTTTTTTTTCATTGTGGCAGCTCAATCTATATTCCTAACAGCAGTGTGTAAGGATCCCCTTTTCTCCACACCCTTGCCAACACTTATGCTCTCCTGTCTTTTGATTACAACCATTCTAACAAGTATGAAAAGATAGTTCATTGTATTTGGATTTGCATGTCAATGTTGGTCAAATGATATAAGCATTCAGTTAAAAGATGAATAAATTCTGGGAATATAATATACAGCATGGTGCTGATAGTTAATAATAAGATATTGCATGCCATTGCAGGCATTTGGGGAGTAAACTAGCAAATGAGAGTTCTCTCTCTTTGTCTTTCTGCCTCTCAAATAAACTTTTAAAAATAATAAATAAAATAACTTTTAAAAATAAACAATAGATGGTTTCATGTTTTATATACACACATACATATACATATATACTTTTGAGAATGCTAGAAAAATTTCTGAAGGTTAATCATTTCAGAGTATGGGTCATATTTTAGCTTGAGTGACTTTTCATGAAGCCAGAGGAACAGGTCCACTGCTGCATACTAATGGCCACTGTCATTTATTGAGTCCATTTGTACCCAATGTTCTTCACTTTGAATTCCTTTCTGACAGCCTTATAGGGTCAATGTTCTCATTCCATTACCAGAAGTGGAAACAAGCACAGAGAAGATAAGGAATTTTTCTAATGTCTATCAACTAAGAAGGAATGGGCAGAAATAAGATTCTACTGTCTCCTTCAATTCGTCCTAAATCAACAAATATATCCCAAGTACTTCACATGTAATAGGCACACATTGCTGGGAAACATAGATGCTAAAGCTAAAGCAGCCTCTACCAAAGGAAGCCAACAGGCTTAGTGGAGACACAAACTAAGAAATAGGAAAGGTGGCCACATGAGTCCGAAATAAAGGTGCCAGGTGTAGGATGAGTCTCCAGGATGGCTGCCCTGGGTGGCTGGACCTGGAAGTAAGGAATGGGTTGGAAGAAGAAAGGACTGACATTCAATGGGAAACCATATCTGTGTTAAGATATGCAAACAGGAATGAGATCACCATGGTGTGGGACAATGACCAGAGGTGATGGAGCAGATCCCCAGTGCAGAGAAGTAGGACTGTGAGGTGAAGCCAGATTCAAAAGACCCTTAGAGCCCAGCAGAACCACGAGGTATCGAGGCAAGAGACTCACAGGACCCAAAGATACCTCCTTCATACATGGTTAGGGAAATGAGGCATTTTCATTTTCTACTATTTTAATAAAATGAATTCCTTGTTGACTCAGGATTATGATAAATAAAAAAAGAAATTGACTGGCTTAGAGGTTTTAAAACATTCCAGACTTTGTTTATACAGGGAAGGATTTTTCAAAGGTCATTCTTCCACTGCTGTAATCACCTTTATATATCTAAGTTCAGTATTATTCTAGTTCCATAAACAAACTTAAAATAGGAGTTGATAATACCACCAGATTTTAAAAGGGGAAGAGCTTCACATTTCTGTATATCTACAGCCAAATGCAATTTTTTTCTAAGCAAAGTCAGTATTTTTGGAGATACTTTGCATTTTATGGAATGGACTTAAGCAATTCACCACTGATAGCTCCAACTCCTTTCCTATGTACTATCAAAAAGAAGTCTACAGAAGTACATGCATGAACATGAAAAATTGCTTTTAAACATTAAATGAAAAATAATATATCATAAAAGAGTAAAATCTTTAATTTTTCTTTCCTTTTTTCTTTATTTTATAGGTGGTGAGGTGAGGTGGGGAGAAGAAGGGAGGAGAAAGAAAGAGAGTGAATGTGCAGCCAAGAGTGATTTCATCAACTGCTTCACTCTCCAAATGCCCACAAGAGTTGGAACTGATTTGGGCCAAAACTTGAAACAAATAACCCAGTCCAGGTCTCTCATGTCAGTGGTAGGAACCCAGTTATTTCAGCTATCTCCGCTGTCCAGGTCTGCATTATCAGGGATCTGGAGTCAGTAGCCAGAGCCAGATATTGACCTTAGGTACTCTGATATGGAACACAGACTTCCTAACCAGCATCCTAACCACTGAGTTAAAGTCTGTCCCCTAAAATTCCATTTTTAGATTAGGAGTATGTTTATAACACATAGGAGGGATATATGGTAAATATAGCCAGTTTTTTCTAGAAACAATCATAGATGGCTGATTCTCTGCCTGCCCTCCTTTTTGCTTAGCTTCATTTTTTTTTTTAATGTTTCCAATACAAGTATGTATCCCTTGTATAATTTTTCTTGAAGTTGTTATCTAAGGACATAGTATTTGGGCACACATGACATGCTAAAAATGGCTTTTTTAAGGACAGGGTCAGAAAGGGATTTGTTTTATCAATTTGGCTAAAGAATGGGAAGAATAATACCAATTTACAAATTTTGTTTCCTTAAAGGAGGGAACATAATAGTAAAATTATAACCCAACTGTTCTCTTATATTAATGGTTGTGACAATCTTGATTAAGTCACCTAAACTTGTGGGCCTTATTCTCCTATATATAAAATGAAGACCTGAATAATCTTAATGTTTCTTGGGAGGAAAAATTCACAATTACTGAAGTGCCTTTCTCAATAGTTATTAGGATTGGATTAAGATGGCAGAGTAGGAAGGGAGCTTGCTGCTTGAGTCTAGGAGGATAGTTTTTAAAAAGTAGAAAGCATGCAGTCTCAGGGAAGAGTTAGGGAGAAAACAGCAGAGGAAACTACACAAATTGAAGGAACACAGTGGACCTACATGGAGGTTAAGGACGTGCACAACTTAGGACCCAAACAGCCAAGAGCCTTCATAACAGCATTGGAGAGTGAGGTGAGACCAGACTACAGTAGCCCAAGCCACTAGTGAAAAAAGCTACAGGAAAAGCCTAGAGGGAATCCAGCTTAGAGCCCCTTGGGGGACAGTGTACCCACCAAATTAGAGTAGAAAAAACAAAGTGGGGGGCATGTTTTCTCTCTTTCTTTTTCTTTTTCTTTCTTTTTTTTTTTTTTTGACAGGCAGAGTAGACAGTGAGAGAGAGAGACAGAGAGAAAGGTCTTCCTTTGCCGTTGGTTCACCCTCCAATGGCCACCGCGGCCGGCGCACCGCGCTGATCCGATGGCAGGAGCCAGGTGCTTTTCCTGGTCTCCCATGGGGTGCAGGGCCCAAGCACCTGGGCCATCCTCCACTGCACTCCCTGGCCACAGCAGAGGGCTGGCCTGGAAGAGGGGCAACCGGGACAGAATCCGGCACCCCGACCGGGACTAGAACCCGGTGTGCCGGCGCCGCTAGGCAGAGGATTAGCCTAGTGAGCCGCGGCGCCGGCCTGTTTTCTCTCTTTCTAATCACCCTGAAAAGGTGTCCTGTAACAAGCTGATATAGAGCAGGCACCATTTTGGTCACACTTAACAGCTGCACCAGCTTGTGCCCACACCTAGCTACCAGCCAAGCAGAGACTCCTGAGTCTGGTGGGGAGAATAGACAGGGGGCTGGGTGCTTGTGACTGTAGGAGGCTTGTGTACTGGGACTGTGAAAATACTGAGGCTGCATGGGAGGACTCAGGGTGTGGCTAGGACACTGGGCAGTCATTGTGGGAGGTTCGCAGGATCAGGGCTCCCAGGTTACCTGGACAGGGACATTGCTGGGGAATCTGAGCTTATACTGAAGACAGCACAGATCCTTTGTATGGTCCTTGTGGCAGAGTGGACAAATAATATATTGATTCGGGCTACCACCCAGGTACTGGTCTCCTTCAAGGAGAGGAACTCAGCTGAGTCTACCCAAACAGAAAAGAAGAAACCTACACTCTGATTAAAATAAAAAAGATTTATCATGCTAAACCTGGGTGTGTCAGCTCAGATGCACCATTCACCATGGAGCACTGAACCTCTGGCTCCACAGCCACACCCACAATATGCCTCTGAAAGCAGACACTTCACTAATCCACTCATACAGTCCAAAGATAAAACCTGCCATAGTGAAAAAAAAAAAAAAGAAACCAATGAATATCTCCACAAATGCCAAATAACAAATGCACCAATTCAAGAAACAAGAATAAGGAAGACAATATGACACCACCAAAGGAACACAACACTTCAATACTAGATAGTGAAGATGATAAGATTGAAGAAATGCCAGAAGTGGGATTCAAAAATTCGATCATAGGATTACTTAGAAGCAAATACACTAACTAATGAAATCCATACATGAAATGAAAGCAAATTTCTCCCATGAAATTGAGATTTTTAAAGATAAATCAAAATGAGATCTTGGAAATGAAGAATTTAATACAACAAATAAAAATACAGTGGAAAGCCTTAACAACAGAATAGGTGAAGCAGAAGAAAGAATATCTGACTTAGAAGACAAAGCACAGGAAGTTATACAGTCAGACCAAACACAAGAGGAAATTAGAAAAACTAAAAACACTGTTGGGAACCATCGGCAAAAGGAAGACCTTTCTCTCTGTCTCTCTCTCTCTCTCACTGTCCACTCTGCCTGTCAAAAAAAAAAAAAAAAGAAAGAAAAGAAAAGAAAAAAGAAATGATTAAAATTAGATAAGAAAACAAAAAAAATTGAAACAAAAAAACAGTTCGAAATATCAGCAAAACAAAGAGCTAGTATTCTGAGAAAATAAACAAAATTGACACACCATTTGCCCAACAAAAAAAGGAGAGAGAAGACCCAAATCAATGAAGTTAGAGATAAAAAAGGAAATGTAACAACAGACACCACAGAAATAAAAAAGAATCATCATAAATTACTGGAAAGAACTGTCTGCCAACAAACTGGGAAATGTAGAAGAAAAAGAAGATTCCAGGACACATACAACCTACCTGAATTGAGCCATGAAGACATAGAAAACCTAAACAGGGGCCGGTACCGTGTCTCACTTTGTTAATCCTCCACCTGAGGCGCCAGCATCTCATATGGGCACTGGGTTCTAGTCCTAGTTGCTCCTCTTCCAGTCCAGCTCTCTGCTGTGGCCCAGGACAGCAGTGGAGGATGGCCCAAGTGCTTGGGCTCCTGCACCCCCATGGGAAACCAGGAGGAAGCACCTGGCTCCTGGCTTCGTGCAGTTCCAGCCATTGCGGCCACTTGGGGAGTGAACCAACAGAAGTAAGACCTTTTATCTCTCTCTCTCACTGTCTGTAACTCTATCTGTCAAATAAATAAATAAGTAAATCTTTAAAAAAAGAAAACCTAAACAGACCCATAACCAAGACAGAAATTGCATCAGTAATAAAGGCCCTCCAAACAAAGAAAAGCCCAGGACCAGATGGCTTCACTACTGAATTCTACCAGCCATTTAAAGAACTACCTCCGATTCTTCTTAAGTTATTCAAAACAATTGAAGGGAGGGAATTCTAAATTCTTTCTATGAAGCCAGCATCTCTTTAATTCCTAAACCAATAAAGATGCAAGAGAAAAAGCACTACAGACCAATTTCCCTGATGAACACAAACACAAAAATCCTCAACAAAATTCTGGCAAATCAAATCCAGCAACATATCAGAAAGATCGTTCACCAAGACCAAATAGGATTTATCCCTGGTATGCAAGGATGGTTCAACATTCACAAATCAATCAATGTGATACATCACATTAACAAATTGAAGAACATATGATTATTTCAATAGATGCAAAGAAAGCATCTGATAAAATGCAACATCCTTTCATGATGAAAACTCTAAGCAAATTGGGTATAGAAGGAATATTCCTCACCATAATAAAGGCAAATTATGACAAACACATGGCCTGCATCCTTTTGAATGGGGAAAAGTTGGAAGCATTCCTACTTAGTTCCAAAACCAGACATGGGTGTCCACTCTCACCATTGCTATTCAGTATACTCCTGGAAGTTTTAGCCAGAACCATTAGAAAAGAAAAGGAAATCAAATGTATTCAAATTGGGAAAGAGGAATTCAAACTACCCCTATTTGCAGATGACATGATTCTATATATAGGGGATCCAAAAGACTCTACCAAGAGACTATTGGAACTCATAGAAGAGTTTGGTAAAGTAGCAGGATATAAAATCAATACATAAAAACCAATGGCCTCTGTATACACAGACAATGCCATGGCTCAAAAAGAACTTCTAAGATCAATCTCATACACAATAGCTACAACAAATCAGATATCTTGGAATAAATTTATTTATTTATTTATTTATTAACAGGCAGAGTGGACAGTGAGAGAGAGAGACAGAGAGAAAGGTCTTCCTTTTGCCATTGGTTCACCCTCCAATGGCCGCTGCGGCCGGCACACCGCGCTGATCCGAAGGCAGGAGCCAGGTACTTCTCCCGGTCTCCCATGCTGGTGCAGGGCCCAAGCACTTGGGCCATCCTCCACTGCCTTCCCGGGCCACAGCAGAGAGCTGGCCTGGAAGAGGGGCAATTGGGACAGAATCTGGTGCCCTGACCAGGACTAGAACCTGGTGTGCCAGTGCCACAGGCGGAGGATTAGCCTATTGAGCCACTGTGCCGGCCAGCCCTTGGAATAAATTTAACCAAGGATGTCAAAGATCTCTATGATGAGAATTACAAAACTTTAAAGAAATAAATAGAAGATAGAAAAAAATGGAAAAAATCTGCCATGTTCATGGATCAGGTGAATCAATATCATTAAAATGTCCATTCTTCCAAAAGCCATCTACATATTCAATGTGAAACCAATCAAAATACCAAAGACATTCTTCTCAGATCTAGGAAAAATGATGCTGATATTTATATGGAAACACAGGAGACCTCAAATAGCTAAAGCAATATTATACAATGAAAACAAAGCCAGAGGAATCATGATACCAGATTTCAAGACATACTACAAGGCAATTATAATCAAAACAGCCTGGTACTGATACAAAAACAGATGGATAGACCATTAAAACAGAACAGAAATGTCAGAAATCAATCCAAGCATCTACAACCAACTTACATTTGACCATGGAGCTAAAACCAATCCCTGAAGCAAGGACAGTCTCTTCAACAAATGGTTCTGGAAAAACTGAATTTCCACATGTAGAAGAATGAAGCAGGCGTCCCTACCTTATACCTTACACAAAAATTCATTCAAAATGTATTAAAGACCTAAATCTATGTCCTGATGCTATCAAATTAGTAGAGAATTTTGCGGAAACTCTGCAAGATATTGGCACAGGCAAAGAGTTTTTGGAAATGACCCCAGAGGCACAGGCAATCAAAGCCAAAATTAATAAATGGGATTACATCAAATTGAGAAACGTCTTTACTACAAAAGAAACACTCAGGTAAGTGAAGAGGCAACAGACAGAATAGCAGAAATTATTCACAAACTATGCAATTGATAAAGGATTAATAACCAGAATATTCAAAGAGATCAAGAAACTCCACAACAAAATAAACAACCCAGGTAAGAGATGGGGAAAGGACTTAAACAGATATTTTTCAAAAGAGAAAATCCAAATGGCCAATAGACACATGAAAAAATGCTCAGGATCACTAGCCATCAGGCAAATTCAAATCCAAAGCACAATGAGGTTTTATCTCACCCCAGTTAGAATGGCTTTCATTCAGAAATCAACAAACAACAAATGCTGGTGAGGATGTAGGGAAAAAGGTACCCTAATCCACTGTTGGTGGGAATGTAAACTGGTAAAACCACTATGGAAGTCAATTTGGAGAGACCTACCATATGAGCCAGCCATCCCACTCCTTCGAATTTACCCAAGGTAAATGAAATCAGCAAATAAAAGAGTTATCTGTATCCCCAAGTTTATTGCAGCTCAATTCACAATAGCTAAGATATGGAATCAACCTAAATGCTCATCAACTGAAGACTGGATAAATTATGG